ATTCGAAAAGATTTTCAAGATTCTTGTGATACTAGTTGATGAATACTATAGACTATAGTGATGATACAAAGCTAATTATGAAGATATCCAACATTTTAAATACTGGTATTATATGCACTAAATCAATAATATAGAAATATATTAACTATTAAAAATACTTTCTCAGTAATTTTGGTTTAAAAAAACCCACGATATTTTCACAAACGATGAGATCGAATCTATTAGTTAAGTAATTATGTCGTTTATGAACTCAATCCATTAATGCTATAGGCAGTAACTTTGTAATGAAAAGAAAACCAGAATAGAAGGCCTGCTAAGGGGGAAATTGAGATTCATTTGAAGTAAAACAGTGGACTTTGTTTACACATGATTAATAAATGAAATTAATTATACCTAAGGCAATGCAAAACAAAGCTATAAAGTATGCATAGGAGTGTTATTTGGTGTTGCAACCAAGAACGATAGAAAGGAATAACAAAACTTCCAGCTTAGATCGAAATAAGACAATTTCCATTAAATGTAGCTTGTAGCCATTTCTGAAGAGAAGGGAAATGATTAGCTAAGCATTCAGGATACATGATTTTATTATTAATGATCGTTGAATAAAAGTGTTCAAACGATAGGATTGGACGGGACAAACCTGACTTGGCGGCTGAGGGGCAAGCATGGCTGCGTCGCGCATATTGATCAAAAGAAGGGTCAAAAAACGCACCAGCCGGCCTGTCGGTACGGTAGACATAGAGCCGGCAACGCGGATCTGCGCCGACTCAGAACAAAGAGTAGCGGCCTCGCAGACGCTCAGCCTAGCCGAGGAGGGTAGATAGTCACTAGGCGCAAGGTAATCGGCCTTGTGGACCCTTGTCTCATTATATATGTCTTCGCGGCTCTTAGAATGACTAAAGTCAGATGAATCTAGGCTGCTGCTAGCACCATGGCTGCCATAGTCATCCGTGCTTCGCTGATAACGTTGTTTATTTTTTGCATTATCAACCTGTCTATGCTTCGATTCCTTTCTTCCACGTTCCTGCTTCACTTTCTCAGGGTTTGAGAGGCGACTGGCATCACTACTAGGCGAAGATGGAGCCACGTGTGAAGAGGATGGACAAGAAATGCTGACGCCGACGCCATTTGCTTCAGAAGCCAGCAAAAGTAGATCAAGATCTTCTACACGCTGTAAAATCTCAGAAAGACGGTTTGTGAACTGAGTTAGAGCGACTGCAGCTGAGGCGAGCTCTTCGCAACGGCGTCGCTTCTCAATGTCACCTTCGTCTACGGAACAGGCCCCAGCACTTACGCCAGATACAGTGGAACAGGGTGAGGAGGGAGCTAATGAGATAGAATCGCCGCTAAAGTTGTCAATATTGGTTGCATCCTGGCCAGATAAGTTCCGATTGCGTAAAGAAAGTTTAGATTTCGAGTAATGTCTGAGCATTTTCTTTTTGGCAGAACGAGGGCAGATTGGATGAAAGTTTTCTGAAGAAGACCATGACGAAGATTCTGACAAAGTCTGGGAGTCTGTAGGAGAAGCTTTTTGTCGCTTTTCCGCTCGCTGATCAAGGTCTGACTTCTTTCTTTTCGGTTTCCGACGATCTTCTTTATCGTCACTCTCTAGTTCTAGAGCGGGACTGTGGGTGCAAGCAATAGTACTGGGAGTAGATGATCTGGTTTTTGAAGATTCGATCTTAACGCCCTGATGAGGTTGAGAACTGGAAGAATGGCTAGAAAGCGATGAAGAGGATGAGCTACTTTGGGATATAGAGGGTCGAATATTGGCCTGATTAGAAACACCTTTAGAAGGCTTGTGATTATAGAAAGATGACTTTTTATAGCTCTGATGGCGTCTTCCTTTTGGCGCGGAATTAAGGGAATCTGATAAAGAAGAAAGGGAAGAAGAAATGGAGGAAGAGGAGGCTGAAGAAAGAGATTTTCGCAGACGACGAGGTTTACCCTTGCCAGAATCAAAAGATGAACAAGGTTTGGCGTTTTGAGTGTCATCCATTTGGCTTACAGGAGCAGCAGGATTCGACATCGAAGATTTACCTATAGATTTGTAAAAGAGAAACTCGATATATGATGAAAAGAAATAATAAATTCAAAATAAGAATTTTCAACTTCAACATTAAAGGATACGTATAAAATCCTCGAATATGGGGTGATTTATACAGGAAATAACTTTACTTGCAGTTTAAAAAAACAGAGCAGAACCGGAAGCAACGTAAGATAAGTGTTAGTAAGAAGAAATGAATTGATGGATATATAATAATTTTGCATAGAATAAGACAATAGGTGAAAGAAATAAACTAATAGATGTAGTGCATCATAACACATGTATAAATCATTGTAATTTTCCTGATAAGAAGGTGCAAATAGCCATATATAGATAGGCAAAGTATTCTTATTCCCTGCTTTAGTTAGATATAAAGGTTATTATGGAAGTCAAAGGTATGAAAATCAAGATGGTGAGTAGGTTTTCGTCACATTAAGCGAAATAGGGTGAATACAGCTCTACCTCTATATACCTCTATTTTGGTCATGGTCTCCGTCTGCTGTATAGAAATAGCTTGACTGTTTTTGCAGCTTGGGAACGTTGTCAGAGACCTAGGTGAAGGCATCTTGTTAGGTGCCCTCTGTCAAAGTAATCAAGATTTGAGCAGATATTTGGACAACCTATGCGCTCGGAATTCTCACCTCTTTTGGTCACTGCATATATTAAAAAATTAGAAAAGGAATTAAGGAAGGCACTGCTGCAACCAAGACTGTTATAAAATACCAGAATGAATAAATTGAAGATGGTATGGAAAAATCCCATAGCTGTATAGAACAATTTGATGAAAGAATCTAACTCACAATGGAGTTGAAAGAGTATGAGCGGTTACGTGACTTTGATGTCGAGGTCATTCGCCTGAGAGGAACAACTAAATATAAAACTATTCAGGATAAAATCACATGCCGGAATAATTTTAATTTTTCAGTCTCATCGCAATTGAAGACTGAAGTTAGGAATAATGAAGAGTTTGATTGTCAAAAGTTTACGAACGGATATGGAATTCTGAGAAGAAAAAGTGAACAAAATTATTCGGACTTGCCTTAGCAACAGATAACTTGGGGAAGTAATGCATGGAAATATACGAGTCATAAAGAACAGATGACACCATGGATATTATAGAAACAAAACAAGGAATTAAACTGAGGGCAAAAAGCGTATATCCTTGTCCTTTTGTGAGCTGAGTCAAAAACTGAGACCGATATTAAGATGGA